CGCTCTTTGCTTCACTTTCTTATAAAGACCCCACAATGAACAGAGTTATTCTTAGTCTACATGAGGGCCTCAGTACCAATGGATCTCAGATCCTGGCTCTGCCACACCTGAGGAGTGTGAATTTGCAGAATTCACTCAACCTCTCCGAGCCTGAAGGTTTCCTCATCTGTACAGAAAATCATACCTTCTGGGGTAAACAAGGTGAAGATGAGAGAACATCCATGAAGCATTTTTCTTCATCTGTGGCATTTGGGAGCATCTCAAGATCTCAGCCCCTCTTCTGTCAGGGCAGTTAACAGCCCCAACACCGGCCTGAGAGATGTGCCAGTTTTCCTGACTTCCACAGAGCCAGAGTGTCCAGGGACCTCTCATTTGGATATGATCTTATTTGTGTCAAAACCATTTTGCTCCTCCACTCCATCCCAGAATTTCTGCTATGGGCACCGCTGGTCTCCGTCTACCCGGCTGCAGATAAGCCAACAACAATGTTATCACAGCTGCCAGCTGTGGAGACAGAGGCCCTTTGCCGGGCATTCTTGGCTCCCAAGGGAGCTCTGGGTGGACCTGGGGTTAGACGGATGGGCAGGCAGGAGGGCATAGGAAGGGTCTGTGCTGGGAAAGGCTCTGTGAGCCCTGGTGGATTTGGAACTGTGCTCACAAAAGAGGGATAGTGCTGCACTGGGATCCTGGCCCTAGCCTGGCTGCTCACTATGTGATCTTGGGCAGTTCAGAGCCCTGTACATGTCTGTGAATGGAGGCGATAGTACAGTTCATAACCTGTAAAGTGCTATGACCAGAGCACAGTCACTGTTGGTGAAGATGTGGAGAAACTGGAACCCTTATGCACAGCTGGAGGGAATAGGAAAGGGTGCAGCCACTGAAGAAAAGAGAAGGGCCCCAAAATCCGTCAGATCACCATGGGATCCAGCAGTCCTGCTTCTGGACTTGCATCCAAAAAGTCCAACCAGGGTCTCAGAGAAACATCTGAACACCACGTTCATAGCAGCCTTACTCACAGCAGCCCGAACACGGAAGCCACCAAGCATCCATCAGTGGGCGAATGGTCCATACCTAATGCGGAATATTATTCGGCCTTACAAAGAAGGAAATTGATATGAGCTACAACGTGGAGGAACTTTGGAAACCATGCTGACTAAAGTAAACCAGGCGCAAAAGTACAAATACCAGAGGAGTCTCCTCATGCAAGGTCCCCAGAGCAGTCGGTACACAGAGAAACAAGGAGGAGTAGTGGCTTCTGGGAGCTTCTTATGCCACTGAAATGTACCCGTAAAGATGGCCAAGGGAGGAGGTGTTATGTGCACTTGCTGCCATGTGATCTGCCTGTGTGTGCATGCACCCGCGTGTGCACGTGTGCACACACATGTGTGAGGACAGAAACCAGACCTTGCACTTGGAAGGCAAGTGCCTACCACTGAGGTATATACCCAGTCCAGGATTTTTTTTGAAGTACAGACATCCTCCTTTAGCGACCAGGTATAGCTCCTGTGACCAGGTGGTTAAATGAGGTCATCACTAAGTGAGGAATTGTGCATAGTGTGTGCACTGCCACATTCAGAATGAAGAAATGGTCAAAGGGAACTCCAACTTGGTGACTTTGCTCTTCCTTACGTAACTCTTACATGCAGTACCGTGATGTATAACGGGACATAAAACCACAATCAGCAAAAAGTACTGTATAAACAAGGTTTTCTGTACAAAAAGATTGAGGCTCTATAAACAAGATGTACAGAATTGTGCAAAAAGAAAAAACAACAGGTGAGTTGTGAATCTAAGCAGCAGGTCATAAGTCCAAACTGCATCTCAGTTGTAAGTCTGAGTAGTCGTTAAATAGGCAGGTTGTTAAAGGAGGAATATCTGTAGGTATAGAACGATGTCCACTCCTTGACAGAGACAGAATTGGGCCTTCCCTCCCACTTACAGATAGAGCCAAAGGTTAAAACCTGAGTAATTGAAAATTCTGGTGAATTATTATGCTACCAGTTTATCAGATGGTCAGGGTGGTACCCTGGGTCCAAAAGAGAGACGGGATAAAAGTACATGTGTTTTTATTTGAATGTCATAAAACTGTTCAAATGGAAGCTGTCACTAACTGAGCTAACATTTTGGAAAATGTTTTTGTGTGTCACTGTGAAACACTTCACCAATTCTCATCCTTGTTGCTAGCATCAGTACCCCATTAGAAGAGCAGGGCACACCAAGTAGGCAGGTAAATGACCCCACTAAAACACTTCCACACAGTGTTGTAAATCCTCATCTGAGCCCAGGGTCTCTTCAAGAGAAAGGAATCCAAAGTAGTGCAGGGGTAACCTCATTACACTTCTGTTTGTTCACCTGGAGGTGACTGTTTTAGGAAATAAGAGGTTAAAGTGGGCGTGGTGGTACACGCCAGTAATACCCGCACTCTGGGAGGCTGATGCAAGAGGGTTGCAAGTTGAGCCCAGCTTAGGAAACTTGGCAAGACCTTGTCTCAAAATAAAAATAGAAAGGGCTGGGGATGTAGCTCAGTGTAAAGGCTCTGAGCTCAATCCTCAGTACCTAAAACCATAAATAAAAAAGACCTTAGATTGCTGAATTTTGCCTCTTTAAAGTGTAGGCTGCCTGAGTTGGAATCACCTGGGGGACTTGTTAATAAAAACCCAGAATACAGAGTTCTGTCTCCAACACGCCTGATCCGCTCTGCTGAGGAGGAGCCTGGGAATCTGCATTACTGACAGACTTTGGCAACTCCTGTCACTGACAGGAACCAGAGCCTAAGGCCAGTGTGAGTGAATTACACAAGAAGCTGGGGATGGACACAGTGGCCACTTTAGCTGGCCATCTTTCCAATGGGAGAACAAACTGTAAAACCCACCAGGCACCAGGTATAGTCCTAAGAAGGAGGCGTGCAGAGGCTAATGCTTGGGGTAGGGGACCCTTGGGTGACAGCTGAACAGAGATTGCTCCTCAGACACAAAGGAAATGATCCCTGCAGCCCCCGTGGTGGGGGGTGTCCAGCACCAGGAACATGTCCCACGGCCCAGCAGGATGTATGCTTCGCAGTATTGAGCCCCATTTATCCAGTCTGACGTCACAGCCCTCTGTGTTCTGCCACAGCCCACTCGGCCTTATCATCCAGCTGCTGCTTTAACGTCTCCACCTCACCTTCCAACGGCAGGAGCTCTGCTCCCAGGACAGCCCTTATGTTGACAATGTCCCCGTCTGCATGGCTGTCAGCAGAATGAGATGCATTCTGCCGCCTCCTCCTCTGTGTCCCTTTACATACTAGGAGACCATTACGGAGCCTTTCCTGGGCATCTCTCCCACTGCTCCATGCAGCAACAGACATGTGTGTGTCTGGAGCCCAATTTACAACTCTACCCCGTCCTAAAATTTCCTGGAGCCATGACAGACCCTAAGACAGAGAGATACATAGACTTTATTCCAAGAACATGCAGACTCTCAGATAGCAATCAGTGGATACAGGCAGCTGTTGGACAGCTGGTTAATTCAGCAGATGTTTCACGAGCACTTATGTGTGCAGGGGCAGAAGGGTGCAGTGGCTCAGCCATGGGCTATGGAAGAGCAGCTCCGGTGGAAGAGCCCCGGTGTGCCTGCACTGCGCTGCCAACAGCAAGGTGTGGAACGAACGAGAGACATTGGGTGTGGTGCTAGGGATGCTGCCCCCATCCTCACCCTTGATACAAGCAGGAGGTGGAGCCAGGATTAGTCTCATTCTGATCTGGCTCTTATGATTGATAAGCTGGGTCCTTCTGATACCATGCATGCAAGGTGGCAATGGGTCCATTACTTGTCCTTTGTCAAACACACTGCCACCTGCAGTGTTCCCATACCAGTGCCTAAGCAAGTTTAGAAAGTTCTAGCAGTTAGTTCATTTATCTCCTTTACATTTCAAGAGCTGTTTATTAACTACAATTCCACCTAAATAGTATGTGGTAAAGGACTGTCATGCCTGTAGATCAGCTGCCTTGTTTCCTAAGATCAGGTCTGGCTGATCAAAGCCATGCATTGTTTCAGCCTTGAGATTTCTGAACCTTTTAATACTCACCTGTATTTAACACTCCAGTTCTTCTGTTTGCCATTTAAATAATTTCCTGTGATTGTTTCTTTCAAGGTGGAAGTTAGCATATATTACTGCTTAGAAAGGACTCAATATGTGATAGCGGTATATTGCTTTAGTTAAGCCACAGCATTGCCATCTCCCCCCCACCCCTGTCATGTGTAGGCTCAAATGCATACATACACACGCGGTCCTGGGGACCAGCACACAAGCTCTCCGCTTCCAGGTCACAGCCCTGGGCAGTCACTGTTTGGTAGACTCCCCCAGAGGCGAGGGAGGGACTTCAGAGGGTCAGGGTTCAAAGGGCTCAGAAAAGACCTTTGAAGCCCCCACACTCAGGGCTGGGGTGCAGCTCAGTGGTACAACATTCTTGGGCTCCGTCGTCAGCATCTCCCCCAAGCCCACGAATGTTTCACAGGACCGGTCAGCGTGGCCACCATGGTGTTCACAATGGACTGCCTGGCTTTGAAGCATCTCCTCCCAGTCCCAGATTCCGAGGTGACAAAGAGGTTGACCCTGAGACTTCAGTCTGAGTGCCTGCACCTTCTCTCCCCACTGGGGGAGTCACCTCCCTGGAGCTGTGAACTCGTCTGGGCACCCCTCTATGATAGGAGGCCCACCTCTCACAGAAGTGCCACTTAACTCTCCAACTTGCACAGAGGACAAGGGTGTGAATCCCAGCTCCAGAAAATGGACAGGACACATGCATTCCCCACAAAACTGCAGCGAGGACCCAGGAAACCAGCAGCAATCACAAGAGCTTGGCCAGAGGGAGGCTCTTGAAAGGAGGAGCTCCAGCTCCCAGAGATGGGGACTGGGTGGAGAGGGGGGGCTTGGCCTCTATTGTATGCAGATCCAGTAACAATGGGCTTTGTGGGAGGGGTGAGTATGGTCCTCAGATCCCTGCAGCCAGCCTCCAGAACGCAGCACTTCCTCACTGGACCTCTGGACCATGGACAGTGACCCAAGGGAAGACGACAGTAAGTAGCACCTCAGGGTGGTGTGGTCCCCACTTCTGTAGCCCACACTGAGAGAGAGCTAGCTTTATCCCTGCAGGGTCGAGTCTGCTCTGAGTTCCTGAGCCACCTACAGTCCTCCTCCTTGCCTTCCTGTCTCAGGTAAAGCCAATTTGCAGTCTGCAACCTCCTCTTCCATTACTGATAAGAAAACCAGGCAAACCTATGAGGTGCACTTGCCCCCTGACTGCCGTGCCACTGACCTTTCTCTAAGTGACAGCCGGTGCTCCCAGCTGGGTGTAAGTGCAAACACCAGGATTTTTACCTCAGTCACTTTCTAACTTTAGCAATGAACCTGCTCGTTTGTTATTTGCTAGTGAGACACAGCCTGGGTGTCCCATTTTTGTCCTGAGGACAAAGTACAATGGAATCTGAGGACTGCTTAAAAACATAAGGAAAGAAATGGTATTTTAGGAAGAACTATGCTGTGTTTGAAAAGAGGAAACTTTGGTTTCTGAATTTGGAAAAGGCAGGGTTGGGGAGGAAAAAGTCTCAGACAGGAATCGGGAGGTTAGGGTTCAAGTCCTGGTTCTGCTTCAAGTTGACTGTTCAACCTTGGGCCAGTCACTCGACTTTCAGAGTCTCTATCTCCCCATCTACAAAAAGACCTTAGGTCAGAGGTTTTTAGTTTGAGGACAGTGAAGATGTGGGCAAAATGTCATGTGTGTGCTTTGAGGGATTGTGGAGGGGCCCACAGCATTCATCTGAATCCCGGAGGCTTGTGACATGGATACAGCTTCAGGATCACCAGACACAGTGAATTTGATGGTCCTTTGCATGTTCAATATTTTGTGCTACCTCTAACATTGGTATTATAAAGCTTCAGGCTTTAGAACTGAAATAGAACATAAAGTTAACCAATACTAATCTTGGAACAAGCCCAATCTAAATTTTGTTGGGTTCTTTTTTCACATTGAAGTAGGAGACAGTGTGGAGGTATATTGCTACCTATTCAAGAAGAAACTAATGTGATCAGATTATGTTCCCAGACCTTTAAAAAGGTAAACTGAGCTGGGCATGGTGGTACACACCTGTAATCCCAGAACTCCAGAAGCTGAAGCAGGAGGAATGCTGCAGGTCCCAGGCCAGCCTGAATTAATTCTCCCCCCTCAAAAAAAACCCCCAAAATAAAAAAAAGGCAAACTGCTATTAATGGAAAATGTGATCACCTGTGAGGTTTCTAATCCAGTCTTGTGCCTTTTTATAAGCTGAGAGCAAGATAACTACTTTAAGTCCCTCACGATTCTAAGAGCCCTGGTTGTGAGGCAGGGCCTTCTGCGTGCTGGGTGCCCACGTGGTGGTACACAGCTCGGCAGGCAGAGCACCCGGAAGGTGGAGGCTGTCCAGAAAAGGGTTTAAAGCCCAGTGGGTGGACCTGAAGCAGGGCACCTCTCCTCCAGGTATGGAGAGGGGAGCCCACTGCACAATTTAAATAATATAAACATGCACCTCCAGGTGGGCAGTGGCCGGCCACCTCATCTGAGGGTGATCACTCCCCAGCCACTAAAGTTGTTTCTTCTGAGTTTCAGCATCTGTACTGCCAGTGGCTTCAGAGAGAAAAGCTTCCTCAGAAGTTGGCCTGGGTAGGGACATTCCGGACATGGTGCTCAGTAGAGACCACTGCAAAGGCCAGTGGGCACCTCTGCAGCCGCCCTGATCCGGGGCCTCTCCGAGCATGGGCAGCCCCCTTCTAATGAGGGGACCCAGCTGTGGGCGATGCTGTGTCAAATCGAGGTGACAAATCCCTCCCTGGCGCATGACTCTTTCACCTTGATTCTAGGTACCAAGGCCACTCCTTGTTTAACAGCCCTAGGAGTCCTTTTCAACTTAAGCAGATCCTGCTCTTTAACATCCCTGGGATGTAGGGGAACTGGCTGCTCTTATCCTAGAGTGCACTGTTCTGGCACAGAGGTAGGGGGAATCCCTGTGAGGATTGAACGCAGAACCTTCACACTGAGCTATATCCCCAGTCAGTTTTTATTCTGAGACAGGATCTTCCTAAGTACTTAAGTTACTCAGGCTGGGCTCAAACTCGTGACCCTCTTGCCTCAGCTCCCTGGGTGCTGGGATTGCAGGTGTGCACTGCTGAGCTCAGCTTCCCATTTCTCTTGGTGTCGGTGTCACCACATGGCAGCCTTGGGATCTCTCTCTTTAAAGTTATTTTTTATTTGTGGTAAAATTCACATAACCTTTACCATCGTCATCATTTTTAATGAGGTCTTATCAAAAATAAAGTGAACATTTCAATTTTTTTAAAAAAGTATTGCCATAAAAGGCTTATTGCCATTAATTCCCCACAAAACCCTCCCTGGCGTTTCAAACACACTTCTCCCATCATTCCTGCCACTTTCTGAAGGAGCTCTGGAAGTCTTGTTTGGTGAACATCTCTAGTTGCGGCGTTGTGACTGCCTTGATGTCCTGACTTGATTCAGAATGTTTACTTCCGTGATCATTTTTCCCTTGAGGAAGAGCCAGAAGTCACACCGTACTGGATCTGGTGAATGAGGTGGATGAGGATGTGCCATCGTGTTCTTTCGAGCCTGCCCTCAGCAGCAGCGTTCACCACACCTTTGATCACACCTCACAAAGATGGGAAAGTAGATTCCAGAACTGCTTCAGAAAGTGCCAAGAACCACGGGATAATTGCGTTCAGAGTGAGGGGGAGGGTTTTGAGGGAACTAATAGCCATGTTTTTTTTTACTGTAATAATTTTTAAAATTTTAAACATTCACTATAGATTCAGATTACACCTTGTAAGTGCACAATTTGGTGTGTGCACCTTGTTGTACAACCATTGCCACTGTCCATTTCTTGCAAAATGAAAACTCTCCCTGCTAACAAAGTTCCCCATTTCATCCTCCTTGAGGCCCTGGCAGAAATCACCCCTATTTCCTGCCTCTTTCTGTCTCTGTCAAGTGCCACTCGGGGCACAAGGCATCCATGTGCACAGCTACACGCACACCCACTTGGCGCTCTGTGTACTGGCGCTCTGACGTGCCCCTGCATGTCACCCTTTGTCAAGGTGACGGATGGAAGGAGGGGCCCTGTTCAAAGGGGCCTCATACCTGTCCGTGCAGACAGGTTATGGAGCAACTCCCCACAGAGTCCTATGGTACTGGGGGCCAGGGGAGCATGATTTCTGTGCTTTTAGGATGAATAATTTGGAACCAGGGGTAATTGTCCTAAATTACTTTTACCATCTGAATTAAAAAGAATGGTACTTTCAAAAGAGAAAGCTAAGAGGGTCATCCGCTAATTACCTCTTTTTCCATAAGAAAAATTCTTCTGAACAAAAGAAAAATCTCTGGAACTGAAAGATTACTTTGTTGACTGTCTTTCCAAAGTTTCAACAGCAGTTTGATGTTTGCATACTGCCCTGGGGATGCAGGGGCTTGAGCTAAGTAGCCTAAGTACCTGTAAAACTCAGAAGGGATCTGAGTTTTAAGTGCTCTTCCTCTCTCTGCTGTGAGTGTGTGAACCAGGTTAGCCGGTGGCCCCAAGTCACGCCTCTGAGCGTCATGTTGTTCTCTGCACTGTGATAACTGGTTATGATGATGCGTGTAAGAGATGGTGCCTGCACATTTCTTGTGAGCCACCAGATGTGACATGTGTGTTGTGTGTGGCTCCACTGCTCTGAAACTCAGTCACGTCAAAGAACAAGGGCGCCACAGGAGGCCCTGTCACAGTGCCCAGTGACGTCCCTGTTATGTTGGCTGAGATCTGCACAGGAAATGACGCATCCGCTGCACAGAAAATGACGTCAGCCTCTGGACCTTTATTTTTGTACATAGCATAATGGCAGGATTAATTTAGCTCTGAAGAAATGTGACTACTGCCCCAGAGGTTAGGGCAGGTCCCAGGTGATGGATGGAGCTCTGACTTTTCCACCTCTCATTCTTCCTCTCTTCCTGTCCCTTTGTTTGGGCCACAGGAGCCAGGCGGTATTTTCCTGTGGTATCATCAAGGGACTCAAGACTGCAGGCTGCCAGGCCACCCGAGGGGAGAGGGCTGTGCTAGTCGCTCTTCCTACATTTGATGTTCGCATTGTCTCGGGTTTAGGGGAGCACAGGGCAAGGGAAACCCACCCCGCTCAGGCCCCAGCTCTCTCTGAGCATGAACAAGACACTGCGCACACTCTCCGTCATCTGGCCACCAGGGGGAAGCACGCGCTCACAGCTGAAGGAGTTGCGTTCTGCGCATGTCCTGTCTACTGACAGAGCCTGGGCTGAGTCTCGGGTCAGACCCGCTTTCCTGAGCACTCTGCCTCTGGCTTCTGATTGTGATAGCATCTGCCAGGCACACAGTGGCCCAGAGCCCAGAGAGGCTCCCTGCTGGTCCCCACCTTCCTGATGCCCCTCAGCTTTTCTCCCCGGGGGGAGTGTGATCATCAAATCAGTAGCACACAGAGGAGAATGGAGGGGTCACACCTGACCCCGCCTGTGCTCACCAGTTCCATACAACTGTGCCCTGCTGCGGCTGGCTTCACATGAGGATAGTCACGGTGAGTCATGAAGACACAGACTCTGAGGCTCTCAGAGTCTGAACAGTTTCTTACCTGGCTCTTCATAGGAAGTGGCTGCTGACTCCTGAGGCCCTCACTGATAAATAGCTCTGAGTGTTAAGAAACTCATTTGAAGCAAAAGAATATTGAGCACCAAGGTCTCAGTAATGAGCCTGCGTGGATCATCAGATCAGGGACACCAGCACACGCTGGCATCAGTGTGAGGCTTTGCAGTGACATCTGTCCCTGTCTCTAAAGGCACTGTCTGTCTGTCTGTTCCTGCCACATCTGTCCCTGTCTCCAAAGGCACTGTCTGCATCTCCAACTCTCCTCTATCCTCCACAGATGGCCTCCAAGAAAGAAGATCCCCCCAGAGGTGGGGGCAGCCGTCTCCCTGTCAGAGGACAAGAGCATTCTGCCTCGGGGCGGGGGTAGAGAGGGGTTGTTCTTTCCCTTTCTCCCTCCCTGCTCTCAGCCACTCTTTGGGGTTTTATCCTGCTGCCCACCCGACTTCCAGATCAGCCTGAGTTGCTCTCAGTTAGAACAAGACTTGCTCACTTTTCTAGACTTCATTTTTTATCAACTTAAAGAAACGTAAAATACTATTTAGTTTAGAGGCTTTAAAGAGATGCTTTCCCCCGACACCCAGGAAAGGTCTGTGAGATGGGGTACATCCACTGGTGTCTGACCTGAGTCCCTTTCTGCAGACCATTTTGCCACCCACCCCATACGGTCAACTTCTTGGACTGACTTGGCTGCCAGAAAGGCAGAACCAGGTGTATTAGTCAGCTATCCTGACACCACTAAAGGGAGGAGAGGCTTATTGTGGCGTATAGTTTCAGGAGGTTCAGTTTGTGGTTGGCTGGCTCCAAGACAGAAGCATCATGGCAGAGGACATGGTGGAGAAAGGCTGCTCAACCCATGGTGGCTGGGAAGCAGAGATGAGCAGCAGAACGGTGCTACAGAGGAAGGCGTGAAGGACCATTGATAGTCCCCAAGGACACACCAGCAAGACCCATTCTTCTGACCTGGCCCCACTGCCTGTTATGGTTGATACATTGTGTCAACTTGAAAAGTTTAGAAGGTTAACTAAGTGACTCAGCAGCGGGCAGGGTCCTCACTTTGTAAACATCATGAGCCTGTGCAAGAGGGGGGCACAGAGATGGTGTAAGTGCTATCTATACCCACCCTAGGAGGTGGTAGCCTGCTTACATTGTTGTGGTTGATACATTGTATCAGCTTGAGGAGTCTAGAGGCTTAACTAAGTAACTCAGCAGTTCTATATCCTGGCGTGAAAAGGACATGCCCTTCCCGCTCTAGGATGTTGTTCATTGTGTCAACTTGAGAAGCTTAAAAGTTCAACTATGTGATTCAGCAGGGGGCCAAGATCCTTACCTTGAAAACATCCTCAATTTGTGGAAGAAGAGGGCATGGAGATGGTGCGGTGTGGGCAGATAGCTGATATACAATATAAGGGAGGAAAAGAGGGTAGCTGCCCCCCTTTTGCTCTTGCTGCTTTTGCTGTTTTCTGCCGCCTTGAACTGTTGCCCCTGTGCTATGCCACCCTGCCTCGGAGCCAGCTGATTAAGGACTGAAACCTCCACAAACTGTGAGCCAAATAAGCCTTTCCTTCCTTAATTTTGGTTGTTGGGTATTTTGTTTTAGCAATGAGAGAAAAGTAACTGAGGTACCTCCTAAGGGGCCACTCAGCTGTGGCCTCATCAGTGCGTTAACCTGCTGGCCCCCTACCCTGCAGATGTGTTCTGTGTCCCAGTATATCAGCGTGAGGCTGGCTTATTAACCTGAGCTTTCGGGAGCACCCATCCCCGATTCTCAGCTTCCATTAGCCCTCCCCACAGCTCAGGACTGTGCCTTCCTGCAGGTGTGGGGGACCTCAGTTTTGAGGCTGAGAGCCCTCTGGCACCCGCCACTGAACTCCTGGAGAGACTGCCCAGCTACAACTACCTTCTTCAGAGGGGCAGTAAGTCCATGTGGGGCCTCCTGCAAGCTCTTTCCTGGGGCTCCTGCTGGAAGTGGGGACATCTGTGTAACACACAAGTGCTGAGGCAGCTCCCTCTCCCCTGGGGCCCAGGGAAGGCCCTGGCCAAGCTGGGTAGGGAGAGAGGTGTAGTCCCTGACAGTGACTCAACCCATCTCAGAGCCCAGCAGTGCTGGTCTTAGAATCAGTTGCATCCTTCTCACAGGAGCTATCTCAGATGTGTCCTTGTGTCCCCTCACCTGCGCTTTCTTGCTTGCAGCCAGCCTTTCTCTTCTTGCACCCTACTCACACCTGCTCCTTCAGGTGGCTGCTGGACCTCTGACTTGTTCGTTTCCTCCCCTGTCCCCAGGTCGACAGACATTCTTTCCACCTTCGGAGGCTCCGGGGAGGCTGCCAGAGCCTCTGTCCTGGTCCTCCATCCTGCAACACAGGTAAGGCTCAGGTTGCACACTCCCAATACCTTACTCTCGCCCCAGCAGAGCCCTCTTTGGGGATTCTTAACCCTGGCAGTGCCTTGGGGTCCCTTGGGGATGCCAGTTCCGTCCTTGACTTTCCAAACCAGATTCTGCAGGGATGGGGCCTGAGAACCTGCATTTTACCAAGTGCTTTGGGCTGGCTGCCTGGAAAGCCAGAGTTGAAAACCATAGCTGATACCAGAGGTCTACAAACTCCAGCCCATGGCCAAATCCAGTTTATCCCTGTAAGCAAAGTTTTTCTGGGACACAGTCACACTGGTTGTTTGTGTCTCATCTACAGCAGCTTTTGCACTACAATAGCAAGGTTTACTAGTGCGACAGAGGCTGCAGCCCAGGAAAGCTAAAATATTGAACATCTGGCACATTGTTGCAGGACTTTACTCACTCATGATCTAGATCCCTGGAGAGCCCGCGTGGAGCTCAGGCTGCCTGGCCAGCTTGGTGCAAAGAGAAGGAGGAGCTGGCCCCGCTGGTTCAGTCCAATTCCAAGGTTCAACTGGTGCCCCACTGCTCTGCTGCCAGAAGGAGGGTGCTCCCTCCGCTCCCAGCCAGCCCCCTGGAGTGCTAAGCACAAAACCCGCTTCCCCCGGGGACATGTCTCTGCCATTCCAGCCCACAGCATGTCATGCTCTGCTGTCTTCTGCCCGGGCCTGGTGGGTGTGGAGACACCAAGCATGCAAAACAGGACTGGATGGCCCTTGGCAGTGAGGAGATAGAGCAGCTCTGAAGAGGGGAGGGCAGAGGGAGGCAAGAGTTCCTTCTTACTGGAGCGTGGGGTGGAAAGGCTCCACCAAGGGGCTGTGTTCTCAGGGGAGAGGACTTTTCCAGGAGGAGAGAAGGGGTGCAGAGAGGGGCCCCAGTTCCTTCTCACGTGGGCCCTCAGGCTGGGGCTCACGCCCTGTGTACTGCTCCAAACTCCCATGGTCAAGCCAGATGGGTCTAGCTCCTGAGGTCGGGAGACTTGTTCTGCAGGTCTCTGCCTCCTGCTACCTTGGGATACTCTCCCTGCTGATCTGTCTCTAAATGTGTATTTGTTTGGTTTTGGTTTTTGAGTTCTACAATCTGTCAGCTGCCTCCTAAGCTACACACTTGATCTACCGTGCTTTTGCCCCCCTCTAGAACAAACTTTCACCTTCTCGACCTGGCATTTGCCCCTTGTTCCCTTGTTCCCCAGTTGGATTCTGGCGGGCTCTACCACAGCCACCGCCCTCCTCACCAGGCTGCAGTGCCCCTCCCCCACGTGAGCCTGGCCTGCATAAGCCCACAGGCCCTTCCCAGACAGAGCCCGTCCTCTCTGCTCCTCTCAGCAGAGTCCCTATGGTTACGGAGGTGGTGGCCCGGGAGGCCCTCCTCAGCTTTGTGAACTCCAAGTGCTGCTATGGCCGTGCAGCCGCCAGTGACCTGATCATCCGAGAGCTGAGGCAGCAGACCCTCTGCAGGGTAAGGGGCTGGCAGGGGGCTGGGGATTGGGAGGGGGTGGGGTTGTGTGGTGTGAATCGGGGAACGAGGTTAGGGTGAAGGCAGCACACATGGACATGGTGATGCCAAGTCCCTTCTGCAGTCTCTGTTCTGCAGCCATGAGTAATAATAAAAGTAATAAACCTCATGGATCATCATGGACAAGTTCAGATGTGCTAGACTCATGCAAAGCATGTGGCCTTCATGTCTTGTCCAGCTCAAGCAGGGCATGTTGCCACCTGTCTACAGAGCAGGGTCTGGAGAGGCAAAGTGCTCCCCCAGGAACGTGTGCGGAGGTGGCGGGGACGGGCTCCAGAGCAGGTTTGCCAGCCCCTGCCTGAGCCTGCTGCACGCCGGCCCAGCTCCCTCTGGTTTTCTGAAGTGCCCCATGCCAAGGGGTCACGCTGGACCACGCAGGCACTTCTGTTTACTTCTGCAGAGTTCACGCTCTCTAGTGTCAATGACCCAGCTGTCCTCTGGTGAGCGTGCAATCACACAGAAATCAGACATAGGTAGTGGCTCTGTTGGTGATCTGGAGGAAGGGGCCACCTTGGCACTGTGTGACCTTGGAGAAGTCAACTGAGCGACCTCCCTGAGCCTCTGCCTCCTCACATGGATGAGGAATATAGCTAAGTCATGGCCAGGATCCCGCCTTCATCTGAGATTCGTGCCTAAGATCAAGAAGGGGGATCTGGACACTGGGCACATCAGTTCCTCCTAATGGGGCCCTCAGAGCAGTGGACCCCATAGCCTCTGTCCATCAAAGGCTAAATATCCCTTCAGCACTCTTTGTCAGAACAGTTCTGTAGCAGTTCACGGAGAACTGAGATTGCCCCAGTGTGAGGTGCCCAGTGCTGGCTGAGCTCCCTGCATGTGGCTCAGGGGATCTGGAACCACATCTGCTGTTACCAGCGGCACCAACGAGCATGGGGTGTCATGTGGGAGCAGCTCCAGGTCTCCCCCGTCAAGCCTAGCAGGTGGCATGCTCAGCTTGCTTCATAAAGGGGGTGTGTATGTGTGTGTGTGTGTGTGTGTTGATTTTCTTTCTTTTTTCTTTCTTTCTTCCTTTCTCTTTTTCTTTCTTCCTCTTTCTTTCTTTCTTTCTTTCTTTCTTTCTTTCTTTCTTTCTTTCTTTCTTTCTTTCTTTCTTTCTTTCTCTCTCTCTTTCTTTCTTCAGTACGAAGAATTGGACCCAGAGTCTTTGCACAGAGCTACACCCTCAGCCTTTTAAAAAATTATTTTCTTTTTGCAGCAGGGTCTCACTAAGTTGCTAAATTGCAGAGGCTAAGCTCAAATGGACCTTCCTCCTGTCTCAGCCTCCCAGACTTCTGGAATTACAGATATGCACCACCATGCCCAGTAACAGATGTGCTGTTTTTCCTCTTGGTAGTACCGACTGGAGACCTTCAGTGAATCCAGGATAAGCGAATGGACATTTCAACCTTTCACTAGTAAGTGAGCTCTCAGAGCTCAGCTTGGGAGCAGACGAGGAGGAGCTGGTGGGAAATCCCAAGCCTGAGCTCAGATACTCACAAGCACTGAGATGCTTGTCCTCTTGGAGCTGCGGCCTCCCCATCCCTGGGAAATTTAGAGCTGACTTCATCTCTGAGGCTCCCCAGTGCTGGTTTGAGAGATGCTTCCTTCACATTGGCTGCAGATAGTTCTTGGGCAGCTGCCTGCCTCCCACCCATCCCCGGACCCTGAGGTTTCTATACCCCCAGGTCCCCTTCCCTGAGTCCCCCAAGTCTGTGGGAAGCCCTGGTCCTTCTGCTTCCTCTGCTTAGTACATTCTGCAAGGCTCGGTGCATGTGTTGCTTTTTTATGAAAACTTTTGCGCTGCTGTCCCCACCCAGGAGTAGCGGCCAGGCCTCTGACTTCGGAGCTCTTTGCACAGGTTTTGTGCAGCGCACTTACCATATCCCGTCACGATGGACTGTGACATGTGCTGCATCTGCCTCCTGCAACGGAGGAAGGAGACGGGATGGTGTGATGATGGTGGTGATAGATGATAGCTCTTATTTACTGATCCCTTGGTATACCTCAGCCTTATGCTAAGCATTTTATATACATTTTTCTGCTCAGTTTTTGCTACCATCCTATATGGTAGGTGCCAGCATTATCTCCATTGTACAGATGGGAGAACTGAGGCTTAGGGAGGCTGAGTAGCTTGCCTGGAGTGACACCCAGATATGTCCAGCTTGAAAGCTTGGGCGCTTAAACAGCATCTGACGAGACGCTTATGCACTTCTTTTTTTTCTCTTTTTTTCACTACTGAAGATTGAAGTCAGGGCCTTTTTAAATTTTTTTTTTTTTTTTTTTGAGAGTATCTCATGAAACTGCTAAGCTTCCAAGGCTGGGCTCAGATTTGGGATCGTGCTGCCTCCCTGAGTGCTGGGATTGCAGGCATGGGCTGGCTTGTACAGCATTTCTACAGCCCTGGGATCTGGCCTAATGCCTGCTTGGTGAATAAGTAAAATCCTCTCCCTGTCGCCTTTCTGTGTCAGACCACTTAGTCGATGGGCCACAGAGGGGCACCTCGCCCAAGCTCTGGGACATCAAGGTCCAGGTCCCTGCGATGTTCCAGGAGGACACCAGGAAGTCCCAAGTGCCCCACTCCTCCCTGGTCAAGGTATGTGACTGACAGGATACTTGTTCTTCTCGGAGCTGATTTTTCAGGTTCTGCTTGCTTCTTATACTCTCAGAAAATCCTCCACCCAGCCTGTTCTTTCTCAGGTATGAGTAAGCATAATTCCAAACGCTGACAGACTGTGGACTCCTACAAGATCCATTTGAATTAGGGAGTGGGCATTCTCGAGGCAGCAAGGCCATCCTATCCACAAACCTGTCCCCGGCTTTAGCTGGTGAGCAGATCTCAGTGACATTCGCGACAGAGTGTGTATCCTGACGGTGCATAACAGAGGCACGAATGAAACTGACACAGAACAAATGTGGAAACATTATTGGTATTTCCTAGGGAGTCAGCAGGAAGCAGCCTTTCGCTCCCGTACGGTGCATTAGCAATAAAATCCCGGCGGGGTGAGGGGAGCCTGGCGTTTCACGCACACTTTAGATTCTCTTCTGTATTACTACTGCCTGTTGTTGCATTAGAGTTTGACTCAAGAAGGGAAGTTTTACTCTTTGTGCTTTCATACAGTTATAAGATGAAAAAGACTTGGCGAGGGCAACACAGAACTCCAAGCTGTTTTTATTGAGTGATTGTTAAATTCTAGCAGCAAATTCATTGCTGTCACACCAGTGCCACCCAGGGCGCACGGCTTCTGTTCCAAAGACTGTGTTAGCATTGAAGGATGTGTACTGTCTGACTCGGTGGCTTCACCCCAGGTCAACATCTAGGCTCCATCTAGGCTCAAGAGTCCCCTTCCTGGCATGCAGGACAGACAGAGCCCGGCCTGGAGGACGTGGGGACGCGCTCTCCTCAGCCTGCCTTCGAGGCCCTTCAGGGTCCTTCTGAGTCACAGCAGGGCTGTTCGTTCCTCACACCTTCCTCCTGTCCTGGCTCTGAACCTGCACCGCTGTTTGAGGTGGGGGCATCTTGGCAGGGTGGAGTGCTTGCACACTGGATCTAAGGTGGGCACTGTGCTTTCAGGACTGCCACAAGTGCTGTGGGCGTGGGCGGCACAGATGCGGCGGCTGCCATGGGCCTGGCACGGTGAGTCACCTTGTGGGCCACTGGGATTAGATCCCACTGTGGAGCAAGGACAGGAACCCAGGACCGGGCTGGGGCCTGGTCTTCTTGAATGAATAGGACTACCTCAAGCAATCATCTTCCCTTTCTGGGCCTCCATTTTCCCATCTGTAAAATGGGAGGGTTTCAGTTGGATGTAGTGATGCACACTTGTATTCCTAGCACTCTGGAAGGTTGGGGCAGGAGGACTGCAGCTGAAGCACAACCCAGGCAACTTAGTAAGAAGCTGTCTCAAAATAAAAAATAAAAAGGGCTGAGGATGTAGTTTAGTGCAAAGAAATGGGGTTTAATCCCTTGTACTGCAGAAAGGGGGTTTCTCATCTATAAGATGGGTGCATCTAGTGACTCTTGCCCCTGGACAGTCCCATTTTAGTTTTTTTCTCTTTTTCCTATCCATCTCCCAACACCCACCGATCACCCGCTTAGTGCCTGGTCCCCTAGAGAATGGAGCCCTGCTGCTCCCAGCAGGAAGCCCTGGGCCTGGCAGGCTGATCTTGAACGACCACCTGTTGCTGGGGATGCTTTGAGAGGCATGGGAGTGGGGGCTTCTAAACCTTCTCTGGGCCCAGCCAAGTCTGTGGAGGTCCTGCAAGCTCGTCTTAACTAATGACTTCTGCAAAGACTATTTCCAAATAAGGTCCCATGTTGAGGTTTCTGTGGACTCGAACATGGCTGAATTTGAGTGCAGCCGGGCATGGGCCTGGAGCAGACATCTAGGCCTTCGGGCACCAGCCTCCTTCCCAGAAGCCTCCTGGGCCCTTGAGTGTCCCTGGAGGAAGACCCCATTCTCTGCGTTCCCAGCTCTGCCTAACTGGAGCCTCCTTGGGGGTCACCCGCTGACCACCGACCACCCTCACCCGTGCCTTGCACTGCCCTCTTGCAGGCTGCCTTCTCCTGCCCGGTGCTCCTGTCCTGCGGCTCACATATTGCTGTGGGTTCCTGTGGCCGGCTTCACCTTTCCCTCCTGTCTCCTCACTCCTGGTGTCTGCTCCTGGTAGCTTTCCTGGTCCCTCTCCCTCTGGTCTTTCTGCTCCTCCTCCTTTCTGGGTACCTCCTGTCTCCACTGAGCAGTGCGCAGGCCCCCCTGGGGCTACTTCTAAAAATGACCCTGTGCACATCCTCGCCCCTCCTGTTCCCTGACACAGAGTCCCTGTCAGCCCCATGCTCCTGCCCTCTTGACACTGGGTGGGGAGTTTCTGGGGGATTGGGGATGAGGGAGGCAAGGGATCCGGTAATGAGGAGTCTGAGGGCCCCCACATCCGACTCCTGTGCTCAGAGGAAGTGGCTGGTGCCCTGCTTCCCCACAGCCCACGGACTGAGGCTGCGCTTGTCTACAGGTGAGGTGCCCAGCATGCAGCGGAGCGAAGCGCAAAGCCCGGCCACCCCGGAGGTGTCCCATGTGCTCAGGCTCCGGCAGGCGCAGGTAGGGGCAGGTGGGGGTTCCCTTCCTGCAGGGGAAACGCCCTGGCTCTCTGATGCCTTAGTTCCCACTGTCTGTGTGCAGTGGTGTTGCCAGGCCTTGGTGCAGAGGGCTCAGCTCCTCTCCAGCTCTGGCGTTCCCAGGCAACATGGCACTCAGCAAGGAGTATGAGCCAAGCGTGGTGGTGCGTGGCTGTAATCCCCACACTCAGGAGGCTGAGGTAGGAGGATCACTGTGAGTTTGAGGCCAGTTTGGGCTACATAGTGAGTTCAAGGCCAGCCTGAACTACATATCGAGACCCTGTCCAAAAAAAAAAAAAAAAAAAACAACAACAAAACACCAAACAAGCAAGCAGTATGTGGGCAGATGTGAGGAAGGAGGTTCTGTGGAGAGTGGGGGCTTCTTTCTGTCTACACAGGGAAGTGATTGTCCAAAACTACCTAAAGAGGTAATAATTGCTGCTGAGGAGCAGGTGCTGGGCAAATCTCCATTTATAAATTTGTAGCAGGGCCTGAATGGAGCAAGGCAAGTTGGTCGATTGACTAAACAACCAGCAATGTTTTTTCTTTGCTCACTGCATTTTGTAAATCATATCTTTAATGTACTTATAAATCTTTAAAGAGAAACAAAACCAAGAGGAGTGAGCCTATTCAAAGCTGGGTTGGTAAATGATACCCATGGCTCATCACACCTCAGGCCTATCCGGAAGCTGCCTGGCAAAGCTTGGTGGGCCTTCCACCAGGGACAGGGAAGAAGGTCTTCTATTTGGAGGAAAACTCAGGTTTCTTTCCTCTGCCAGAGAAAAGATCCAGTAAAAACAAATTTACAGGGTCAAATGCCAGCGAACTCCAGCAATGTAATTCCAGCATGGCTTCAGGGCTCTTTGGATCCAGGCTGGAGTGGTGAAGGGACCACCGATGGCCCTGGCTCAGTCGCCCCGGAGAGAAGGAAGGATGCTCCAATCAAGCCCTGGGTGGCCCTCAGGGCCTTTGCCTGGGTCCCGCTCCCACCTCTGCGTAGACTGTCATTGCCAGGGAAACAGGGCCGAGCAGGCGGGCAGCGGGGCACAGGAGGGCGGGAGGATGGTCCAAGAAGGGTTGAGAGGCAGCCTTAGAGGACAGAGGAGTGGATGATGACGGAAGTACCGCCCGCCCATCGAGGAGAGCTCTCAGCGGTCCTGACTGTGGCCCTCAGGTGCAGCGTGTGCTCGGGGAGAGGGAGCAAGGCGTGCGCCACCTGCCGGGGGGAACGGAAGCTGGTGCACTTCGCTCAGCTGGTCACCACGTGGTATGTGTCAGCGCCCTGGGGCCAGGGCTCAAGGAGGGTCTGGGGCGTGACTGAGAAACCACATGGGGTGGTGCACTGAAGGTGCAAGGAGCTTCCGGGGCAGGAAGGGTCCTGCGAGGGAGTAGTTGCAGGGGTGGACCTAAGGCCCCTGAGCAGACACACGTACTTGATCTCGGACACGGCGTCACTGCACACTGGTGCGCAGGCGCTCAACAACTGAGTGCTTCCAACTGGGGACTGTCCTGCCGCATCCCATCCACCATGGCTCTGCAGTGAGGGTTTGTCCTGTGCCGGGCAGCATGCTGAGCACTTGCAGAAGTGCAGGGAAGTCCCGGACGTGAACACTCAGCTTCAGTTCCTCCCCCACCGTGCACGGGGGATACTGAGGTTCAGAGAGGCCAAGGGGCCCCAGGCTGCCCCTCCTGTGCGCCGCCCCTGCGGCCCTGTCCCTGACCCACCACGCAAGCCCCTGTGCTGACCGTCCCTCTGCCTTCTTTCCCAGGAGGAACAGCCTGTTCGAGTTTGTGTCCGAGCCGCACCTCGACTGCCCCAGGGAGCTCCTGGGGAAAGCCAAAGGGGAAAACCTCTTCAGGGACGAGAACTCAGCGGTATGGAGGGGTCGCAGGGCAGGGGCCGCCTCTTCTGCAGCTGTAGGGGCTGCAGTCATTGTTGGCTAGCCAGATGGGGACACAGCTGCGCTGGCAGGAAGGAGGCTGCCGAGCCCAGTTGTCCCTGGAGCTTGGACATGACAGGTGCCAGCAGTGAAACCAGCTGGTCTCCCCTGGGTCAGGTCTGGAAGTCCAGCTGTACCTGCTCTGATATGTAGGCTTTTCTTGGATCCCAGCGGGGACCTGCTGGGTTATGCACTGTCTGTGGCTGCCTTCTTGCTCCTGGAGCAAAGTTGAGGGAAAACATACTGCCTGGCTCTCAGAGCCATCTCCTGTCCGGGCCTTGGCCACAAGGTCTCCCGTGGAAGAGGAGGCCTCACACCTGCTAGGCTCCGCCCCAGGCTCATCCCAACCAAGGACTCATCCACAGGGCTGATGCTTCTGGACAGGGCTGCGGGGAGTGTGCTCTGACAGTCAGCGCTGCTGGTGGACACCTCCCTGCCTGCAGCATCCGCAGCAGCACCAGGCTCAGGTGGATCCTGAGCAAGTGCTAATGGAGGGTGGAGGGACAGAGTTATGGTTCAGAGTTTCAAGGACAGCGAAGAGCCCTAGAAGATAGGCCTGACCCTGATGTGGGAGGAGACCCAGTGTGGCCCAGGGGACACAGGGTCTGGGGAGTAGTCACCCTGGTCCTTGGACGTTATGTAGGATGGCTGTGAGCGTTAGGGTTTATTGGTGGTGCACAGTGTGTCTGCAGTTCACACAGAGTGCTGGGCACGCAGTAGGTAGTGTCAGTGTGTGAGTAAGGAGTAAATCTGAGTTCCCTTCCAGCTGCACAGTTCAGATCCCAAAGCCACAGGCTCCACGTTCTGACTCTGTGGGTTTGAGAAAGCGAGGTGCTCTGTGTCTGTCTCCCCCAGGTGTACCCCATTGTGGACTTCCCCCTGCAGGAGATCTCCCTGGCCTCCCATAGGGGGATCGAGGAGCACAGTGCTGCCCTGGCCTCCAGGGGCCGCATCTTGCAGCAGGTGAGGCAAGGGGCTGGCGGGCCGCCTGGCCCCTACCTCTCTTTCCTGACCCTGACCGTGGGGGCTTGGGTCTGGGGCTGTGGACTGGGGCGCTGGGGCCGGGTGGCGTGCTGTCCCTTGGTCTGGCTCTCTGCCTGGAGGCTCCTGAGCCTGTGGGGCTGAGGAAGGGAGGCAGCACCAGGGTAGGGTTGCGGGGAGGAGGACTGTGAGGCAGAGGGCAGCCCTCAGGCCAGCGGCATGCGTGAGTCAGGGCTGGCTCTGTTCTGACTCCTTGTTCAGTTAGGGGAGGAGAGCACTGGAGATCCAGGCCAGAGGCCAGGCTAGACCCTGGAATTCCTGCCCTACTCCCAGCCCTGCCCTGTTGGGCAGTTTACTCTGATGAGCACTAGGTGGCAGTGTGGTTGCCCTTCCCCAAGTCCCCAGGGGGTACCTCTGAGCTGCCCCTCCTGTCACTGCTGCTGCTGGGGACCACACAGTGGGAGTTCGGCTCTGTGACAGGGGCCTGGTGTCTGGGCCTGAGCCTTGCAAACCCAGATGTTGGGTCTCCGGCTTCCTGACGTGGTCCTGGGCCAGCTGCTTCCTCCCAGGAAGGACTTGGCTCAACCTGCTGGGCACCTGGGCTCAAGGAGTCACTTCTCTTCCTGTGCTCTGCAGTGTGCCTTTCCCTTTTCCTCTCTCCACGACTGTCCTGTTCACAGAGCGAGCAGGGTACATTTATTAAGAATTTTAAGGGCCAGCTGGAGCCAGGCAGGGAGTGTAGAAATCACACAGTCTAGATACTGCACGCTTAGCCGCAACCAGCCCAGGTGGTCTCATGGTGGCGGGGCACTCCTCATCCAGAGGACACGGCCACCACTCAGCTCTGTGTCAGCTTAGGGCCCAGAGCATCCAGACCTCCTGATGTCCGGCTTTGTACACAAAACCTTCCAGTTTGTCAGTATTGACAACAGAATTCCCAAAGAGCTAAGAGCGCTGAATGCGCCGCTGGGCCTGTTCTGGCTTTCCCTGGTCTGACCCGAAGTCATGACTTTGCATAAAGGAGAGGAAGCCCGGAGAGGGGCAGTGCTCTGCCAAGCACACTGGTCTCTTAGTGGCAACTCTGGAAGCCACTGGTGCAGGCTCACAGGGATCCTCCAGCCAGCTGTGAGATTTGGGGCCCTTTGCATGGGGGACAGCATACTTACCAGGTTAGCACGTGCCTCCCAGCTTGGGCTTTCATTTGTGGTGCTGAGCTCCTCTTTCCATCCTTGGGCTTCAGTGTCCTTTTGTTGTTGTTGTTGTTGTTTTCTGGTACCTGGAATGGAACTTTCGACCTTGTGCTTGCCAGGCAGGCGCTATGCCACTGAGCTAAATCCCCAGCCCCAAAATACTGGGTTTTTTTTTGTTTTTTTTTGTTTTTTTTTTTGGTACCGGGAATTGAACTCACAGCCTCGTGCTTGCCAGGCAGGCACTGTGCCACTGAGCTATATCCCCAGCCAGTGTCCTTATCTATAAAATGATTCCCCTCCACTCCTGTGGTCATCTGCCCTCCTCCTGCTTTCCCCAAGAGCCCTGGGGAGGCTTCCTGCTGTGGAGACAGAGTCTGGAATGGGTGGCCCAGCTGGCCCCCTTCCACCAGGGCCTCCAAGTCATCACAGCAGGAGCACCTGGATTGTCCCAGGGGGTGAACTTCCTGCCACCCACCTCAGGAGTCAGGAAGGGGTGGCGTAGCTGCTCAGAGAGGGGGGGCCAGGACCTACAGGACCAGGACTGCTCTGCAGGAGGAAGTGCTTGCTTTGGGGCATTAAAGGGCAGTTGGTGCCCGGGAGGGGGGATTTGGGCATTGAAGGGGTGCAGCTGTGGTGAGGAGGTAGGGTTCGCACTGGGTGATCTTCCCAACCTGAGCTTCCATGCGTGCAGAGGCCTCCATTTCCTCATTTGTCTTAGTTTCTTTTCTTTCGTTGCTGAGACAAAGTATGTGGCACCCAGAGTTAAAGGAGGAAAGGTTTATTTAGCTCGCAGTTTGTAGAAGTTTCAGTCCACCATCGGCGGGCTCCAGGGCAGGGTGGCACATGGCAGGGCAAAACAGTTTATGGTGGACAGAAGGTAGCAAAGCAACAGAGAATTTAACAGTGTCTTTCCGCCCCTTTTATCTTATCCAGGCTCCCGGATTAGGTGGTGCCAAACCAATCAGAGGGCTGATTTAGTTCATCACCCACTTTAGTCCCAGTGTCACACACTGTAGATTCAGCCGCCTCTGAGAAGCTCTGTGGTTGTATGCGGCTTTGGGAGGACATTGAGACAGAAACCTTAACAGAAGGGAACACTTGAGAAAAACTGCCCACGTCAGGGACAATATAAAACTGTGGTGGTGTGAAAGAGATCTGCAAATACAGCCTGACAGCTCATCAAACTCTGAAGTTTCTCTGGTAGTGACGTTTTATCTTAAAATTTAACCTGGAATTTACAAACCACACCCTAGTCGCTCTGTGAGTGTTTCACTATAAAAACGTTTAAGATGACTTTATCTGCCAGGTTCCCGAAGCACCTCAGCTTACATGAGTGCTCTGGAAGACGTTGTGTTTAGCTGGTGGCTTTCCCTGAGGACACTGCCACCTTACTTAGTAACACATAGACTCTGATGGTGGCTGAAGATGAGAAGTCAGCTTTTCCTGGAGTTTAGGCTATGGGAAGGAGCAGAGTGGAACATAAATCTAGACAGGCAGGTTGGACTCTGCAGCCAACTCCAGAGCCTGAACTTCATCCCATTGGCAGGAGGGAGCCTCTGAAGATTCTGGAGCAGGTGAGTGACAAACAGACCACCCAAGTTTGTTGTTTGAATGTTTATTTCCTCAGCGCCAGACCATTGAGCTGGTCCCGCTCACGGAAGTTCACTGTTCGTATCAAGGAAAGACTTACATCTACTACATCTATGGCACTGACCACCAAGTGTATGCGGGGGACTACCCGGAGCAGTGCTGCTGCGGCTGTATCATCGTCTGACCACACAGCTGTCCCGGGGGGGCCCCCTGTCCTCGTCTGCTGCGGTGGGGGAGTTGCCGAGGCCTGAGCTTGCATGTGGTTGGTCACGTCGGACAACCACATACAAGCCCTGCCTCCTTTTGAAAAAGTCAGCCCATCCTGTCTCAGCCACCCACAAGATTTCACATGTTTGTGCTCCTTTGGCATAGGCCAGGGAAGCAGTTTAAATGGCGGGCTTTGCCTTGGCTCTCCAAGCTGATGCCCGGTTGATGGTGTGGTGGTTTCACATCGAAGTCCCTTCTTTTAGTCTCAGTGTGATTGCTAGTGCTGGCCTCAGCCTGAGTATCAAGCAGATGTAAAAGACAGACCCAAGCTGGCTGTCCCTAATACGCAGCCTGCAGTGCACTGTGGCAGAGGGGTCAGGAATTCAGCTGCAGCTCTAGCTCGGTGGTTTGTTTGTGCACCACGGGTTCTGTGGTCAGCCCAGAAGACCTGAAGGCTGGGGTGGCTGGGAGGGTGGGGGTCCCAGCGGGGGTCCCAATAGGCAGGTTTACCCAGACATCTGGTGGTTGGTGGAGAGCCTCCTTGAGAGGCCCTGTGCCTTCAGGGAAACTGAAATCTATTCCCAGATACTGCATTGCATGGACTGACCCTCTGTTTGCCAGGCCCCACCATGAGTCACCACGTACCCTGTCGCTGGGCAGGGGGAAGGGATCCCTACCGACTGGCTACAGGGACGGCTTTGGAGAGGTGGTGTGGGCTGGGTAGGCCACCAAAACCAGAGGTCCCTGCCGCCGGCCAGAAAGGGATGCTGTAAGGCCTCTGAAAGCTGATGGAGGGGTCCAAGCTCCAGCTGGACCTTCAGTCTCCTCCTCCACCCCACCCTAAAAATGGGGACCCAGGAGGCTGGGGGAGATAGGCTGCACCCAGAGCATGAATGATAAGAGATGCACAAACTAGCCCTGCATCCTCCTGGCCGCCTCCTGATTCTAGGTCTGCATGTTCTATTGGATGCTGCTGCTCCCCCCATTTGGGCTGAGCCTTGAGGTCCGGTCCAGTGTCCGTGGTGACTGGCTTGTTACCCAGAGCGGTGGGCTTTGGGATGAGGCTACCCAGCTCCCTTGGACATCGCAGAATCCAAGGGGAACAGGACTGGGAGATGAGTGGCCTGACCTGGGCTCGGCATGTGGAGGAGGCCAAGGGCCCCGTGAGACACACGCTGGGGCTGATGGACAGTGGGCCCACGCAGCAGCTGGGAGAGGAGGTGGCCCAGGCAGAGCTCATCTGCCCTCCTGCTGCAGCTTCCTGTGCTCCAGTCTAGGAGGTGCCTGCCCTCAGGGCATTGCATAAATGAAGGATCAGATGGGACACTGTGGGTAGGTGGTGGCCGGGCCCAGACAAGGGATTGTCAAGTGGTGCTTGGGGACACTCATGCAACGAAGCCATTTCCCTGTGGCACACAACGTGGAGGCGTCCCTCTGGTGTTCATGTAAGGATATTAGTTACACATGAAAGGCTCATCAAGTACTATTGGAGTGCTGATTTTTATTTAATCTTTAGCTTGTTCTTTGGTTTTGCCCTATATGTCTTATATGAAGTGACTTCTGATCGTCTGCTCCTGATTCAGATTTATGCACCTTAAGTGGATGGAACGAGCTGATGATTTTCTTCCTGCACCTCAGGTGGGGAGTCTGAGCACTGAAATACAAATATTTTCTAAAAATGACTCTCTTCTAATGTCTGACTTATATTTGAACTTAGTGTTGCTTTCTAAAAATTTATATGTAAGTGAGCTGTATGTGAATTTTATCTTAGGACCTAAAGGAAGGATCCCGTATGTCAGGGTCGACCCGATGGCCCATACCCAGGGTGGTCTTGTGAGCCCAGCAGGAAGATGCTGGCTGGGTCCAGGAAGCAGGTCCGGAGGGAAACCTGACTATTGAGCAGCAAGCAGGAGAAGGTGCCGTGAAGCCCAGCTGAAGGTCCCTGGCTGAGCTTTGGCCAAATGCCAGGCAGATACTGGGTCCCCCTGCCATTCGACAGCTGTTGAGTGGTTCCCCTGTAGGATCCAGTTTTGATGACCTTTGCTGCCCTCGATCACAGGACACCCCTAACCTAAGACCAACCACTAGGGACTTTGGCTTGGGCCTGTTTCTGTTTTGTTTTAGAAGAATACCACACTCAAGCCACAGTCAGCCGCTGCTGGATCATAGATAGGACTGGAAGCTGGGCGGGCCGCAACCCCGCCTATCCTGGGAGCAGCAGACAGAAAGCCTCAGATCTCTTTGGGTGGTGACCTGGGATTATCTGTGCTTTGTCCCAAATAGCATTTCAAGCCAAAGAGGAGAGACCGGGCAGGCCCTTTTCCCCACTGAGCCCTGCACTGTTCTTCTCTGTAGTTCTTGGGGTTACAGGCTTGTGTACATCTACACAGTGGTTGTTAAGAATCTGGGTGACCTTGGGCTTCCTGCAGAGCTCAGGGGAGGCCTGAGGTCCTGGAATGGAAGAGTATGAGAGTGTGTGTGTGTGTGTGTGTGCGCGCGCATGCCTGCGTGCACACACACATACACACACATTTGCTAGGAGGAAAGGTCGATGCTTAGAAAGCATCAAGGACTTCTTTCCCCGCTTGGTGTTTGTCCTTCCCTTCCATGTCCCTCTCCTTCTCTGCAATTCCCAGTACCCCACCTTCAACCTGGGGTCAACTTGGACTTCAGTTTCTAGTGCACAGGGGCCCTTTACATGGAGGGTGATATGTTTTCAGTCAGGGTAAGTGGCGTTACATTTCTCAGCAGGGAATAATCTTCTTGGTACCATAGCTTGGATTCTGCTGCTCTACACTCAGAGTTTCAGTATCTCCTCTGTGTGTTTGCATTTACTGCCCTGCAGTCATGGAAAGAGCATGGGTTGGGAGTCAGACACACTCAGGTTTAAGTATTGGCCCTGCCTACGATTAGTTCTATGACTTTGGGCAGTTCAGTAACCTCACTGAGCCTCAGTTTCCTTGTCTGTGACATGGGGATGATAAAGTTTGCTTTCTGGATGGGTCAGAAAGGTTAAAGTTTGGCTGAGGGATACACTAGGTGGCTGAGAGTTTTTCTGTGTTTTACCTGGAGCACAGCGGCCCTGAGACAGTGAGATTTGGGGCTCTTCTCTATCCCCTCTATCCTGGTCCCCGAGCTCTGTGTTATTATTTGTGTCTATGTCTTCAAGCTTGGGACATTGCTTTTTCCTTGCCATCAGCTGACAGAATTGAAATTTTTAGCTACAAAGAAAATGGGATTACGGTGTCAGGGGAAGAGTGTGCTAATCTTTCAGGCTAAAATTAGTCACTCTGCTCTTCATGAGAAGCAGCCAGTCCATGATCTGAAAGTAAGACAGGGATTTCCAGGAGCTGGCTGGCACACGGGATGGGGGCATCTTTGCTGGAGACATCACAGTATGGCAGTCAGTCCATGCAGCCTCTGTAGTGGCAGCCTCAGCTCACACCCACACAGGTGCCATGTACCTCTGCTACTGCCTGTCCTCAGAGGTCCTCCTGACCATCGATGGCAGTTGGACTTTGCCCTGGTGTATGCGATGTGAGTGGACACACGTCCCTGGGAAATGTGAGCAGCTGCCAGTCATGTGAGGGGCACAGGGAGTCGAGCACTGGAAGGAGAGAGAGGTCAGACCCTCCGCCTTGAGGGGTCAGGCAGGTGTCCAGGCACACACTCTCCGAGGTTGTGTGGCGCAGGCAGACATTTCCAACAGCCAGTCCAAGAATTTGGGCCCTGTGTTCACCAGCCTCATCTAGAAAGTCTGCCAAGATGCGGGCTCCCAGTCTCATGCAGAGAGATTTGGGGCAGTGGTGGCTGAGATTCTGCAGTGTTCGCAGTGTTGAAGGCGGGCACACAGCGCCGGAACTGATTAGTCTAATTCGTTGGACTTTGGCACCCGCAATCCCAACCTGTAATAGTCAGCTTTGTGCACTGCTGCAAAGTACCCGAGGCAACTGACTTCATACAGCAGAGGTTCGTTCAGCGCACAGTGTGGAGAATCAAAGGCCAAGACAGAGGAGAGAGGTCCCACTGATCCTGCCGCTGGTGAGGGTGGGAGAACCAAAGCAGCGGCCTCAGACTGAGCAGGGAGAGAGACTGCAAGGCCCCGCAGTCCCCTCCCCGGGCCGTCCCCTTGACCCGAGCACCTCCGCAAGGCCGCCACCTGAAGGTGCTGCTGCCTTCCCGCGGCGCCGTCCGCAGACCCGGCCTGCAATGCAGGGGCCTCGGTGCAGGTTGCACAGCCCTCAGTTTCCGCCCTAAGCTCACTGTGGAGAGGCCCCCGCCCAGCCTCAGCTTCCTCACCTGAGGAAGAGAGAGAAGCCACGCTGTCTCGCACGGTAGTTTTAGGGTCCACACATGAAAGTGCTCCGCAAACCAAAGCAATGTTTCCAAACCCAACATTTTTCTGCGTAGGGGGCAGGAAAGGACCTGGATGTTCCAAGGCTGCCTGTTGCTGTCGACTATATCCAGCAGAGGGCAGCAGATGCACACGATGATAACCCCTGCCGCTTGGCTTCTCGAACTTCAGGGTCCACACCTAACCCTTGCTCAGCTGTGGGAGACCCGGACCCGACGCCTGGCAGGTCCTAGAGCCTCAAGGAAATCGAGGCGGCTCCAGAAAGTTTCTTCAGAACTGGTTTAGTGTGTCCTCTGTTATCAGTGGGCTCCAGGTATTTTATCCTTCCAGGGCAAGGACATCAAGGGACGCCGGAGTACTATTTAGGAATCCAGGCTTGAGCTACCGAACTGAAAGTTTTCTATCTAGGTTCACACAGTAGCTCTTTCTTCCCCCTGTGCTGAGGATTAACCCAGGGCCTTTTCACTGTGCTACATCTCCAGCCCTTAAAAAAATTTTTTTAAAAAATAAATTTTAAGACAAGGCTTTGATAAGTAGCTAAGATGCTAAAGCTGCAATTGAACTTGTGATCCTCCTGCCTCAGTTTCCCAGATACTTGCTTTCACTCTTGAATCCAATCCATCCTTCTATTCCTTTTATTTTCGGACTTGAACCTGGCCCATCTCTACTGGGCACTGTCAAGGGCAGGCCGCAGAGACACAGGTGCTGATCTTGTCTTGAAGGACCTGGACTTTTTTTTTTTTTTTTTGGTTTATTTTTGGTCTTTTTGA